CATGGATCGCATCGATCCATGTCACATCCACATGGATCACAGGCATCAGTGTCACACCCACTCGGGTCACAGCCACTCGGGTCACAGCTATCAGTGTCACGTCCACTTGCGGGCCATACAGCTATGTCGCAGTCACAGGGCTCGCAGTCATCTTCATCTGGGACTCCACCTATTTCAGGCCTTCGCCTGCGAGATACTAGCTCTGACCCCCCTACACCTTCCACACATGCCTCTGATATACATGCTTCGGACGCTGATGCTGATGATGACGAGGAGGTGCATTATGATCAATATGGCAGGATCATCATAGTCCATGAGGGTGATAGGTAAGAGTTATTTGTTATTTTTACGTTTATTGTTTTGTACAGTTTTACTAAGATATTAATGTGTTTTTTTTATTAAATTGCAGGTTCATCCCTAGTAATATTACTACAAGGATAATCACCAAAGCCACCAGAAAGCTTTATGATGGCCCTTATGCGACTTGGAGTGATTTCCCATTCGCGCTGAAAGAGCAAATTTTCAATCAATTTAAGGTATAAATATTCTTTTAAGCAGTACAATTATTTAAATATGTATTATAGAAGATAGCTTTTATATATATATATATATATACTTACACTATACTATGCACTAAGTATTAGTGCATTAGCTAATATTATATCGAATATAGCTTATATATATATTCGATAAAAGCTTAGTGTATTAATACATAATTATTCAAAAGTTAAGTACATTAATACTTAGCTTTTATTAGCTAATATTATATTCGATATAATATTAGCTAATGCACTAATACTTAGTGCATAGTATATATATATATATTAGCTAATGCACTAATATACTATATTATAAGCAGTTAATGCACTTAACTTTTGAATAATTATTAGCTAATAAAAGCTAAGTATAATATATCGAATAAAGCTTTTATGATATTTCCATATAATACTTAACTTTTAAAATACAGAGCAAGTGTGTATGGGAACACCGCTATAGCGCGGATGTGGCTGCAAATTTTCATCTCAAAGCTCGCAAGCGGTTGTCGCATTGTTTCTCCAAAGCTAGAAAGTTGAACCAGAAGCATGGCTGGTTGCTTCAGAATTTGGGAGGATTTGCAAAGGCAATGGCTTACCGCAGAGTTCTTAGAGAAGAGCGAAAAAGGAAAGAAAGCTCGTGTTTCTGAGAAGGGAGGATCCTTGCACACTGGAGGTGCGATCAGCCTAGGGACAATAAAGAGAAGAATGGTTCGTAATAGCTTAATTTATTTTAATTTTCAAAGTATATCTATTCTGTTTATTAACTAAAATTTATGAGCTTTCAGGAGAAGAAGTTGGGGCGTCCGATTAACCAAGATGAGCTATTCAAGGAGACTCATATTGTAAAGAAGAAGAAAGAGACGGATCAAGAAAGGTGGGTCGAGGGCCGAGCCTCGACTGTACATGTAAGTTTTCACTTTCATTAAGTATTTTGAATTACTTTTATATAAATTTTGAAATACTAATTCAATGTAATTTTTCTTATAGGGTCGCTTCACAGCTGAAGTGGAGGAATTCATACGCAGTCAGCCACCTAATGAGTCGGGCGACCCAATCCAACCTTCGGACGAGGATGCTGAAAGAATGTGGACGCAGGCTGCTGGCGGTCCAAAATGGGGGAAGGTATACGGGCTTCCTACTAAGAAATTCCATCGCTATAAGTGTGGAATGCAAGGAATAGGGACTTCCTCGCAAGCCGAGCAACTTGATGGGGAGAGCCTCTCCTCTATGCGGGAGACTGTGACAAAGCTCACATCCGAACTAGAAGCCGCTAAGGAAAGAGAAAAGCTTAGAGATGCTCAGTACATTGGCATGCAAGCTCAGTACCAGGGCATGCAAGAGCAGCTCAAATCTCTCCTAGCTTCTGGCAGTTTTCCGATTCCCCAGTCTCGTGAGTCATCGCCAGAGGCTCGCCTTCCCCGTGCTCGTTCCTCCCGTCCTCCCTTTGATCGTTCTTCCCGTCCTCAACAAGTACACCCTTCTGGATACCGTCTTGGTGATGAAAGTTCATCAAACGGTGATGATAATGATGTACAAAACAATCTTTGACTTTTATACACTTTCAACTAGACAAATACAATCGATTTTCGAATGGGCTTGTAATAACAGTTAACTTAGTTTGGTTAGCTTAATGTGTTAGTTCTATTGAACTTTATAGTTTGTTGGTTTTAATGTTGTTGTTGTTGTTGTTGTTATTGTTGTTGTTGCTTTTTATTGTTGTTGTTGTTGTTGTTGTTGTTGTTGGCATAAAATGTCTGTTTAGGAATTTTGGTAAGCTGGCAGGTGGTGAGCTGCCAAAACAGGCAGTTTCTGCCAAAAATATACCAAGAAAAGCGACCAAAGTTGGTCGCTGGTTGGTCGCCTTTCCCTTTAAAAAAACAATTTTCTGGGCAATAGTGACCAACTTTGGTCGCTAATTAACCCAGATTTCACAAAACTCGACCAACTTTGGTCGCTATTCCATTAAAAAAAAAAATCTGGAAATATAGCGACCAAAGTTGGTCGCTTATGATTAAAAATAATTTTAATTCTTGAAGTTGGCGACCAACTTTGGTCGCTTATTTTTAAAAAAAAAATTAATAATAAAGCGACCAACTTTGGTCTCTATTTTCCAGATTTTAAAATAAAATATTTGGATTAGAGACCAAAGTTGGTCGCTATTTTATGATTAATAATAAATAATAAAAAAACGTATTTTGCATTTAGAGACTAACTTTGGTCGCAAAAATTATATTATTAAAATAATAAAGCGACCAAAGTTGGTCGCTATAGTCAATACCCGGAATATTTGGTCCCTTTACCTTAGGGACCAGCTTAGTATCGACCAGGCATGTTTGGTCGCTTTTTGGTCGCTTTTGGACCTATAAGCGACCAACTTTGGTCGCTTTTTGTGGTCGTTTTTTTTCGGATTTCTAGTAGTGCTAGTTGTATGAGACATCTTTTTTGTCTCACAGTTTAGTGGACCCAGATTTTATGGACCCAGAAGTGTAAGATTTGGGGTCCACAAATTTGTAAGAGAAAAAGGAGACTCGTACAACTAATGTAAGTTGTGTAAGGCACAAAATAAAACTTCTCCGTCTCGATACAACTTTGAATGTCATGTCACAGATATACAATGTATACAAACCTCGAAGGAATTAGAGCTCAAAGGCCGACTCAACTTTACTATGATTAATTAGGTCATCGCTTCGTTGTTCTCTTTTTTGGACATCTTTTGTAATGGTAATTAAGAGCTAGAAGTCGATTTAAATTTTCAAGTACAAATTGCCGGTCCCTTTGGGAATTTTAGGATGAATATCAGATTTGATTCAAACCTTTTTTGTAATTAAATTTTGAATTAAATATCTAGTTCGATATAATTATGTCGTGTAAAAATGGAATGCTAACAAGATATCACTCCACGTTGATACTGTGATACATAATTAACAAGAGATTTGTCAGATAAGCATTTAAAGTAATAAATAGTATAACGAATAATTCTCATAAAACTAGGTGGTGATGGCCGTGCTAGAGCACGGGCCCAATTGTGAAGGTTGGAATTACTATTTTTGATGCCTTTGTCAATATTGAATTTGCAAATAATAAAAATTGATTCATGTAATTAATTATCAAATTAGATGTCAGACAAAGTATACAGCAGTTTACACCATTAATGAACGACATTACATAATCCAATTAACAGGCATACAATTGCAAGGACTTTGCACCAGTGAAAATGCCTGCTCCTTTGTATTTGTCCTCAGGAATCAAAAAAAGTTAGATCCATCATATATAGATGAATAAAGTGAGTTCTACCTAAATCAGACATGTGCAATTATTTCATTAGACATTTTTCAATTTCTTAACCAGCATATCTTGGGTCATCTCCCTCTTCAACTCTGCAGAAGAATCAAACTATAATTAATCAAGATAGCTAATATAGAAATTATATAAGTCCGACTCAATTTAGTGGAAGAATTCTGATAAATGCCATCGACCAATAAGCATAGTTTAAATCATTAATCTTCCGACAATGTAAAAGCAGCTGCATATTTTATCTAATATGCTTCTCTTTTGTATGTCAGCATTTGAAGTATGAGTTTTTTATCGATAGCCATAGCACATCTTTTTTCCTTTTAGCACCAATAAAAAAAGGGAAACTGCTTACTCTCTGCTAGCTCTAGGACACCACTTTCAGATTTCAGAACCAAGGTTTAAATTAGATGCATGAGTCATGTGTGGCCTTAAAAATCAAGGTCGTGAGGGTAAAACAACCTAAATGTTTCATTGTATGTGCTACAAGTTCAACCACGCAGAGCAGATCTCAAGAGGAAAATCATATGCAGAGCAGATCCCAAGAGGAAAATCAACCCGATGCAAAAATTATGTGACTTACTATTAAAACTCTGCTGAGCTAGGCATCACTTCATTGTGAGTGCATTTATCTATTCTCTTTATTGACAGATTTTATGTTTTACCTCCACTTCGTGAGTAGTGCCTCGATCATCTTTATCTGGTTCTTCTGCAAAGCAACCTACAAATAAAAGAAATTGCAGCAATTTCTAATTCCTTCCACAAACCATTTACTCAACTTTAAAATACATTTGCTTAATAATGAGCAAAATACCTAATCATATGCGATAAAGTCGATTAAGTAAAATGATAAAACAATTCAAATTTTCACTTGAATTTGCTTAACTAATCAGGTGTATGAGGCTGGAGAAGCATCATTTAAAGTGACAATATGCAACAGCAGAATGCCCTTTTTATATGCTACTTTCTCCCGTCCTCGGTTGCAGCAATTCATCACAGATAAATATATCTTATTGTCAGCTAAGCAGATCAATCCTCTTGAGTTCAGCTATATTGACTGCTCAAATCATATCACAAGAAGCAAAGATGACTATTGACATCTCATGTTCAAAGTTAACTTAAATGCACACATTTAAGATATGTTCAGCTCGTGGAGTAATTTTGTTTTTAAAAAAAAAAATCTTAATGTTGTTGCATATGTAAGTGAAGTAAAAACCAATAGTTACATTTGCACTTAAGGAAAAAATAGCATCGCACCTTAGAGATATGAAGGGTTTAAAAGCCAACTACTTGGCTGAAAAATTAGAAAAAGCGTACTCCTTATTCCACTTTTTGAAAGCTTTTTATGGATAAATTAAAAAGTACAACTTTATTTTGATATGTATGTTCTTTTAGCCATGATCTTTCGTTTTCATATTTGTCTTGTGCACATTTATGCACTTCCTAATATGAACATAAAATATGAAGTAGCAATTTGAACATTAGGAAAGGATAAAGTAGAGGACACGTGAAGTACATTAAAGGGAGGAACCTACACACAATACCTTAGTTGCAGAACCAAGATCAACTTGAAGAAATCGAAAATATTAGAATCAAAGCAGGCTGAATCCACAATCACTGAACAAAGTAGCATGTCCTTGTCAAAAAAATAACTGATATTTCCCGCCTTAAGTGGACCAGAACAATGGCTAGCACGTGCTTTAACTTATAATAGCATATTTAACCATAAATTTATAGTATAAATTTAGTAATATAGAGCAAAGATCACCAGTTGAGTTCAATGATATTACTCATATACACTTAGGTTGTTCAATAGGTCATCAAATAGACAATTAGGAATGATAAGTACAAGATCAAAGGCTCGAAATTACAATTCTAAATAAATAATTACTTCAACCCCCTCATTCTTCAACCACCCACTACGCAAAAGAAGGGGTTAAAAAGGATTTAAAAAAGGATAAACTTTACAGCTTTATTGTACTGCAGCAAGTAGCTATAAAAGATAGCTAAACAAAATAGTAGGAAAAAAGATACGCATGCATAATCAGTAAATCAAAAAAGATCATGTTTATGATTTAAGCACCTAATGTTCTTCTACTCAAACTGATGTTTATCTGGCTATGTGGAGGCACTGCCTATTCACTTAGTTGTTGTACTTGAATAAAGAATATCTTTGAAAGATAGGTCTATGTGCATCACATACTCAGATAAGGGTCTATACTAAAGTAGAATATTTACCTAATTCTATTCTTTCATACTTTTTTCTCTAATTTTATTCAATGGTTGCTAAAAATGTGCTACTCTATACCAGCATTCAATCTTTAATCTGAAATTATAGATCTCCCTTAAGAAGATTAACCAGGGCTGGCTGAAGTGTAAATTTTTTTCCTCCTTTTTTTATTACCTTCATTTCAGATTATGTGATATCAAGAATTCTAATCTAATGCACTTTTACTTGAAATAAATGTTTATCATAGCTCAAATAATAGACTGATACACAAATCAGTGAGAACTGACAAGCGTATTGATTATGACTCTAACATAAGAGATTTGAGTTTCATATCAGATATTTACACAGTTCACACGATGTGTGGTCTATTTTGAACTTCTGAAAGTAGTAGCACCATTCATGTCTTTTAAATCTTAACACGTAAGACGAATAAGATATAACGATTCAAGTCTCTATGTACAGTAAAGCAACAAAATTGCATTGGGTCTTTTAAAATATGAGATGAACCTTACCCGAAACCTCCCCAAAATCTCAGATAAACATTTTTGTCATGTTTGAGTCTTCTCAGTGAAGTCCCTAAGTCTATTCAACGAAAACAAACTACAAATTCATCTCAGTTCTAGTAGTGTATTGAAAATTTCCAAATAGGAGCGAGCACAAGACTGGGATAGTCAGATAGGAAAGCTCACTTTGAGAGCGTTATAAAGATCTGGTCTTTCTTCATATTGAAAAGTTATTCTTAATAAATAATATGAGGTATTCAAACCAATTTTACTAAACACAAAAGAAACAAAAACACCCCAATCAAAACTTTTTGCCACAAAATATATAGGCGAGCAGATAAAGTGGTTATTGGATAGGGTTGATGACCCTTTAAGTACAAGGGCTTAAGAATAGTATTCTACCTTAGCTGAGATCTTCAATGCTGAAGTTGTCCCCGATTATTGCATCTTGGATTACTGAAATAAAAAATCAGATGAAGATAGATGTGTGCAAAGCACACACGGAGAGAAAACCCTCAAAGAAGGACGAATATTTTCTATCTATATTATAGAAGAGCTAGAGTTTCGACGTGTGAGCTTAGTATCATTAAATTTTTAGTTGAGGGTATTGTTGGCTTTTTACCATATCTAAGAAACGTGTCGTCCGCTTCAAAGCTAAAAAGCCACATCTTATCTATTGTCTTTGGTTCCATCGCTTTTTCTCTCTCCATTTTCACCGTTTAGGATTGATTGTTGCTTTGCTCTACATAAGATTGCCGGTGAGGTCAACCGACTGTATTGTTCCTTACTAAGAGCTTTAACCATTAAAATATTATTGTACTCCTCTTCCATTATCATTTCTAGCAAGGACTATGGAGATGTATGCTATTTCTTAATTACTGGGAGTGTTCTGCCAACATCAACTTTCTGATAATATCTTATAGTGAAGATCAAGAAAAAAGATGTGTACTGCAAAGAACCTCAGCCTTATGGAGTTATTGATGGCCCTATCACGTGGAGATGCCAAAATAGTTAGCTCAAGCTTGGCAAAGCCATATATGCAAAACGATAGTGGTGATTGAATTAAAGACATAATTACCACAATGAAAATCTTCATAAGTTAGACAATGTGACTATCTAGACTGGGTAGAATACTCAAATTGCAATGCAGAAAAACCGTATCATACTTTTGTGAAGTAAGCAAGCGTCAACTATCCATGTTATAAACTCATAAGGCTTCCAACAACTGATTACATTATTAACTTATTAAGAACCTACTAATCGTTTAAGTGTAACATTTTCTCTGTCATTTATATGGTGGATGCACACAGACAGAGGTGACGTAAATATGACATAGGCTAAAACAAATAATCTGGAGTAACCTGAAACACAGAAGATATACTCATGAGTTTCTTATAAGCACATAAGAAAAAGACATCTAGCTTAATATTGCACATTAGACTGAAGCTAAACGGTTACTGACCTGTGTTCTCTCTCCGTCCAAGCAATATGTTCCTTTGTCGGCGCCCCAGATCTGACCTTGTAAATTTACCTCCGTCATTTCAATATTTAAGTTGCCTGAATTCACTCCAAAACTCTGATAAGCATCACATTCTTCACTTAGGTAGCATATATTCAGTTCTCATCTTTTTGTTTGTATCATGCGGTTATAACGTTTGTTGAAGGAGGATATAAAGATTTATGTCGTTGATTTTTGAATTTGTACTTGTATCATGAGCTGGTATTGGTTGTAGTTTGTGTTTGAATGTTCCTTCTAAATAGACTTGTGGCTATAACTCTTACATCAAGGGCTTATTTTTCTATGCGAGAATTATTACAAAAAGAAGTATGGTGCAGAAACATGCATAAGTGGCTACAAATGCTACATAATTTCCAACCTCTTACACTCCTCCAGCCAGTACTCATCACCGACGTGCAGCCTACGACCTTCGCTACCTTTTCAAGGTCATGTCTCTCCTACTAAAAGCTTCCTCTTTAACCTTGTAATTGTGAACGTCAATTTAGTCAAGCAGATATGACAGATCCGTTGCCCCTACAGATGATAGGCTTGATACTTAATGGATATAGCAAGCATTCAAGTATCTTAAAAGCTAAGCAAATATCTACTTTGAAATCAATTGCTTTAGGGATATAAATAATTCACAAGTACTCTAGCAATGATCTGATTAGAAATTCATTGGTTGAAAATGAAAAAGCAGCTATATATCTGATTTACGATAGAAAGCACTTACCAAATTCTATAGCTTTAAGAAAATGCACTAAATTTTGTTATTTAATAACAAATGCCTTCCAGCAGATTCTCTCTAGATCCAGCCTATTAATTCTCAAAAGATCTCGTCATTGACGTTTCCTGCAACCTCAACATTTCTGCCAGCGGCCTGCAAAAGAGGTATAGACTCTCAAGAATTTCACATCTACTAGGGATCTTCTGTCAAATTTTGTGATGCTGGACATTATTCAACTGGTGCAAATGGGTTGATAGACTCGAGATGAGAGCAGTATGCAAAAATATCACTTAATTTCAGCAGGCTCCATTCGGATTAGCTGTCTTAATCATTCAAGGGTCGTCCGAGATCTCCTGAACGGAAAGTCGCCTAAATATTCTTCACAAGATACTGGACAACCAAATATAGCTACATCATGCATCATTCTTCCCAAAATTTATGCAAATATATCTTCTAATAAGCTTATATGGCTAATGAGATACTTAGCTTCACCAGAGACATCAGATGATATCTCTAATCAAACAATAGACTACTTCTTCACCTAGTGATGGTTTCAGAAATTCATGAAATTCAGCAAATCAGACACAATTTAAAGTTAAACTGCAAGGAGCTTCTCCTTCGAGGAAAAAGAGAACCAAGAATATATTGGACTTATCTAAAATTCTTTATACTGGATTTAAACTTTCAGCCCCACTTTAAATTAATTGTGAAAATTCAGTTTCTTTCATTCGTGAAGAAGAAAAGGAAGACGTGAAATCCAAATAGTTACAACCAAAATCCTCAAATCTCGCTCTGTAACTATAACTCTTTTGCTATGTGGTGAAAACAGAAAACAGGATAGAGGTGTAAAAAACTTCAGGTGCTAACAGTGTCAAACATTTTTCGGCAATTTTTTATTTTCTCCCTTACCTCCAAAGGATGAAAAAGACCAGGGATGCATAAGAAATCAAATAAGAAAACCAGTTCATTGAAGATTTTTACTAAACACCTCCACATCAGAGGTTTTTACCTAAGGAATCAGAATTATTAGAAGAAAAACTTAAATATGAAAAAGTACAAACCTGACAATGATATTTTTACAAAAATGGCTGAAGGCGTCTTCAAGCACATGCTCTGTAACATCCAATGATAACTGATAATCCTATGACATTTAGATTTGCAATTAAAATTGGTCCTTTCATGGTTTTCTCCACGCTCTTCCATAACGGAACTCTGAAATAATAGAACATAATACTAATCAATTTGGTACAGCAAGAAAATCTAAGAATTCAATTGAGTTGAAATCAAATAAAATTGACCTTGGGTTGAGCACAAGAGAGATAAATTGTACTGTATTGGGAGTGAAATTCCAAAGAGAAATCAGTAAAAACCGAGAATGAAGAAAGAGGAGCAGACTCAGGGCCTCAGATAAGCGATCCGATTATGAGGCGGGAAAAGGATGCGCCGGCGGAGAAAGAAACAAAGAAAGCTACACGTAGTATTTGCGGAAGGAGAAAAAAAGCCACGTATAGAGCTATGCTAAATGACTGAATTATCCTCAAATTTTTTTAAAAAGACACTAAGCAGCCATGTCGAAAATGTTTCTCTTCTATAGAAGAGAAAACTTTTTTATAAAAAGACACTAAGCAGCCATGTCGAAAATCTTTCTCTTCTTTTAGAAGAGAAAAAGAAAAATACTTATCAAACCATCAGTATGCTCTGTAACTTAAACCATCAGTATCGGGACGACTTAACAGTTTGAGGACGGATTATTCAATTTTCCTATCGAATAAACCGTTAAACTTTTTTATATTTATACTTTTACCCCTATATATATAAAATACTATTGAAATACTAGATGGTTAAATTCCTAATTTCTAATTCTCAATTGAATTCGGTCCGCAGCAGAGAGTGAAAGTCGACCAATCATCATCACCTCTCCTAAGTCCTAAATCACTAATCAAAATTTCTCTCAATCTGAATCTGCTCGTGCTCATCACTCGTTACTCGTCAGTCTCGTCTCTGTCTTGGAGGCTGAAGTTTTTTGGCTTGGCTCTTCTCTCGACCAGAGCTTAGAAAAGCAGAATCCTTCAGCTCCAGCCTTCAGGTAAGATTTTTCTGATTTTCTCCTCCTTTCGAATAATTGATTGATGGTCGAATCTTCAATTCTAACGGACAGAACATTTCGTGCGTTGGTTGTATAGTTGTGTTTTTATAGTTTATTCTCTGATTTGGCAAGATAACATTTCATCTGTTCAAAATAAGAAAAAGAAGTATCTATTGACATACACTTTTAAAGAATTGTTTCACAGAATAGCGTACAGTAGCAATGAAACCAATTCCAAATTTGGATTTCAACCTTATTGAGGTTCCAATGCAACGAAGCCTTCCCTTTGCCATGATAGCGATGCGGTCGCTTAAAATATCAGCTTCTTCCATTGAATGGGTTGTCAAGATAATGCCACGCCCTTCTTTCGCACCCTCAATTATGCCCCAATTCTTTGAGTTTCAGATTCTACCCATATTTTTATTAAGAGTATTCAAAAAAGTTGTTCTTAAAAAAAAATTGTTCTAGAGATTGTTCTGTACACTCCATGACGAGTCCTCGTTGAGTAATGTACTCAGGATTATGAATGGTAAGTTGAAATGAAAAAAGCCAGTGAACTATGCAATTTGGCCGTTTGGTATTCACATGACTAGGATTGTTCAAAAAAGTTTTATTTGGTTTAGCCGATAAACTTCCAATAATCGTTAATCCGATACCAATTCGCTCGTTGGCTTATTTGATGGCTAGCAGATTACTATATTTATAATTCGATAACCGATAAGCCGAACCATTAAGCGTAATTATCTGCCGGATAAGCACCCCTATTTTTAAGTGAATCTTTCTTTGGATTAATCAGATTAATGAATTAAAATTAAATATTTAAAAGGAAAAGACTTAGGGGTCGTTTGGTACGAGGCATTAGAAAAAATAATGCAAGCATTAACTTAGTGCATTACTAATACCTTGCTTGGTAATATTTTTTCAACCTATGTTACACATCTTATTCCTATGTATAAATAATACATAGCAAACCATGGTACTAGCAATGCGAGTATTTTTAATACTTGCATAAACATGGTTAAACACATAATTGCCCCTCAAATCCCTCAAAACCTATTCCAAATACTTTTTGCCATATTTTGTATATTTCTATATTGTGATATTTTAATTAATTTTTCACCTTTAGCATTCTACTATAATTAAAATAATATCAATTTAATACTAAATTTATTTTTAAATTCGTTCAACGTATAAACTGGATTTTTTTTAATTAAAAATTTATCCATTTTTTAAATAATGGATATTTGTATTATATGTCATAGCAATTAAATTTTTCCCTCTTTTAACTTTAAAATTTTAATTAGTATTATCTTTTAATTTCGCTCTCCTGTAAAAAAAAAAAATTGACTTTAGAGAGAGTCAAGAACGTGCATGGTAATAAAATTATTGCAATAAAAATATTATCCAAAGTTAAAAAGTGTGGTGGGTATTTTTGTGAGCAAGCATTTTTTTTTTAGAAATTATGCAGTGCTTTAATACAATAAACCAAATAGTGTATATAAAATAATCTCAACATAACTAATGCCAGCATTACTAATACTCCCTCTGTTTCACTTTGTGTGAACCTATTTCCTTTTTGGTTTGTTCCAAAAAGAATGACACCTTTCGAAATTTGGTAACAATTTAGCTTAAACTTATAATTCTACGAAGCTTTTATAACCACACAAATAATCTGGGCCTTTTTTGCTTTGTTTAGAACCACAAATTCCAAAAGTCTTTATTTTTTCTTAGACTCCGTGCTCAGTTAAATAGGTTCACATAAATTAAAACGGATGGAGTACATGTTCTTATCCCTCTTACCAAACAGCCATTAATACAATGAGATGGGTATTTATATAACTGTTAGAAACCAGAAAGGGTTTTTTTTGAATTGATCCTTCTCTCCCCTACTTAACATTTGATAGTCTTCTACGGAAAGAACACTGTAGTCTTCAGACAACAAGAAGTTTGGAAGGCATACCTCTTCGCCCGACGTAAGTGGTGTACTTGTGAACGATAATTGGATTTTTCAGTAGCATTATAGTCTCCTTCAGTAGCTGCTACAGCGTCTCACGCCTGTTTCGGATTCAATCGGCGATTGGTGATTTTGAGTAAATTTCATATACTGCCATCAGTTGTTTGTGAAAATGCCTCACCTAAGTTAAGTTTCAGATACTGCCATCAATTTGTTTGCGAAAATGCCTCACCTAAGCTGTTCAAGTGACTAGATTAATTAGTATAGCTTTTACTAAATTTAAGCTTTTAGTACTTTCTCACTATATTGGAAATTGAGTCATGGTTGTTCTTTCAAGAAACACTTTTGGTTTCTTTACGAATTTGTTAGCCACTCTGTTCTATACGTAATACAAGCTAGATTCCTAAATAGAAATTTGTTTCATAAGAACTTCCTTACGTAATTGGCTTACGTTTCGTCTAAAGATTCACACTTTATCAATTGATGAGATTCTTTACGCCCTATGTAATTTAGCAGGGCTTCTGGATAATGGCTTTGAGGCGTATGCTCGGGTATTCCGATGGAGAGTTAATGAGATCAGATGCAAAACCCTGCTCAAGGCTTATGAGACAAACAGCTGGCATTTTTTCCGTTGGAGGAGCATTAGGATTTTGGGTTCTTTGCCGATTGCACTATGGTTTGTTTGATATTTCTCCTTTGACTCTTTTTACTCTCCTGATCGCTTATCCTCATTCTTTCATTTTTTGGAGCTTTCTTTGAAATTCAAGAGCACTCGAGTATATAAGAATGTAACGAGAATAGGAATGCACTAAATGAGTTTTGATCTCTAAATTTAACACAATGAGAAAATGTGTTTGTTTTTGATAGATCTCCAAATATTGAGTAGTGCGGTTGCTTTATCAAGTGTTAAAAAGGCTTATTGCCAATTGTAGGTGAATTGGTTTGAGAAAGAGAACTTAAAGGTAAGATATTGATTTTTGAGATGAAGTGCTGCGTGAGCTTGTTGCTCCGCAAGTGGAGTTGTTGAGAGTTTCTTTTACCTTCTTTTTCATTAGTTTAACTTGTAAAGTTTTCTCAAGCTTAGAGTTGCTGCTCCTAGGCTATATTTCCTCCAAGAGTTTCTACCATGTATCCTTCTTCCTGCGCTGCTTCCTCAACTTATAAACTCTTTAGGGTGAATGGTGAAACAATATAGTAATCTTCATCTATTTGTTGGTGTAATGATGGGCCTAATGAATCCTTTTATATTCACTAGATTGGGCAGCAGATTTGCGCTTGGGAGCTTGTCTGCTGCTCAGGCATGAAAGTATAACGTAAGAAATACTTTCTAAGGTTAAAGAAGACGACAAACCGGAAGATACAGGCTGGAAAGAGAGAGAGAGAGAAGGGGACAGTGGACTTGGTGAGCTCTTCATATAAGCAGGGCCTGTTCAGTTCTTAGCGAGCTCTAATTATTTGGATCTTTTCATGCTAGAAAAGCTCTAAAATGGAGTAACAAAGATCAGCACGATCCTATGGACGTGGGAATTTCATGTGCTGCATGTATTTAATGTTCTCAGTTTTGATCTCTGTGCATCACCAAAGTAGTTGATTGACTGCTGGAATGGCTTTTGGATTTGATAGATGAAAGGATTTTGCATCAATACCTGCATTCTACAATTCTTTGTGCTTTTCTCCTCTCATTCCTATCTCCCTTGACTATATTGATTAGTACTGAGCTCCGAAGGGCATGCTTCTTTAATTAATTGTCACTCAAATTTTATCTTGATTATGCATGCTGTTTCTTTTCTGATAATGCATTGGTAATACAGGTCCTAGAATCACAGTTCCTAGAAGTCTTAGATGGGCAACTTGTGGGGCTATTTCTATGAGCTCAAGCACAGCTTTGCTAGTTCGTCTATTTAGTCCTGAATGTGAACCACAAAACATAGCTGCCTACGACAAGAAAGGATGATGTTACTTTTCTTCCGAAATCAGTCAGTAAAACTGAAGAATGATGTCCTATTTAATTCGTGTGTAACTTTTTAAGGATTCCCCTTCCACAAGCATCACAGATACAGCTGCCCGTGTTAGCCAGGGGAGAAGAACCAACATTTAAATGCTAAACTATTTTCTCACTGAGGGCCTATCTTGTTTGCTACTAACTGTTATATCAATTTCTGTTGTGTAAAAATGCTACAAGCACTCGTGAAGTGATGCTTAAGCTGTCTAAGTTCTCTCCTTCTAACAGCCAATTCTATGTCATATTCTACAAAGTGGAAATACCTATTTGTGTGAATGATTTATTCTTTGGCCTAAGCTTTCAATATTACCTATTTAAGGAAATAGTTGTGGCTTGGATATAGTAGTATTCATTCTAAACCAACTAGTTACCTGGCACAATCACTTCTTTGTTTGATCTTTCACAAACTAGGTCGTCTTCATCAGATTCCTTTTTTTTTTTGGTTTGGAACTTGGTCAAGGTGTGCTTGTTTTACACTAAACCCAAACATATGATGAAAATCCCAGATCTAGGTAACATGGATCAAAGACTGACATTTATGATCGCAGAGTGTTTGAAGTTTACAGATATGGTTGATTCTATATATATAATGAACCAAATCCTGCTCCTGTGGATGGCTATGGTTCTAAGTTCTGCATTAGAATACTGTTCTATTGCTCTAATCTTGTTGTAAATTAAGCTTCATATTTCCATAAGCGAGATAAAAAGCTTAAGAATCACATACTATTTGTGCTCATCATGAGCCGAGGGTCTATTGGAAACAACCTCTCCATCTTCACAAGGTAGAGGTAAGGTCTGCGTACACACTACCCTCCCCAAACCTCACAGTGTGTGATATGATATTACTGGGTATGTTGTTGTTGTTGTATACTATTTGCGCTCAAAAACGAAAGAAAGCCTAGACTTTACGTGAAATATACTCACTTTTTCATTCTTTTGTTTTGTTTACCATGACTTGCACATTGTCATTCCTTTGGTAGTGTTAAAATGAAGTGGTGATCTTTACCCTGGACCTTTTGTCCAATTCTTTTGTTCCATTCTCCAAACTAGCTCCCACTGTAATTTCTTTCTACTGCTTTTATCACTTGTTAATTATTTTATACATTATTTTAAAAGTGAAGTATACCTTTGGCCTTACTGAAAAAAGGGCAGAAGTATAGTAATTTCTAAGAGAAAAAGCCCAAAATCATACATTATCTTTGACTGTAGATTCAAAATAGAAAATTTTACCTCTTATAGCAAAGGTTGATACCTTATTTATTACAAATAAATACCCTTTTAAAAAATTATCTCCTATAGCTACCTTTTAATTTTTATAGCAAAATATTTATTTATGGCCACTTTTTACCTTTAAGCCATTAAATACGCGTGTATTATTTTTCTCTCTCTTTCTTTCTTTTTCTTTTTCTCGCAAAATTACCGTATGGAAAGTAAACTTCTCTCTCCACGATCTCTCTCTCCAATTTCTCTCCGTCGCCATTCTCTTCACCATTCTCTCTATCAACGATTCTCCACTGATTCATCTCCATTGTCTCTCTGAATTTTCAATTTTTTTTGCTCCAAAGAGTTGTGGTAAGTAGAAACAAAGATCTGAAAAAAATAAATAAAGGAGAAACAAAGATCTGGAGAAATACAAGTGCAGATCTCAAAATTTTCAAAGCAGAAATGAGAGATTCACTACCTGGACGACTCAGAGGGCGCCGGTACTGGCGGCGACGCCCTGTTGATACCCAATTTTTCCCTGCCTATTTTTTATGCTCAAAATATTCTCAAAATAGCATGTATATGTTTGCCCAGAGTTTGGTATTTCTCCTTCAATTTTAAAGATTTTTTAGATCAATTTGTTGTCTATTTTTACACTACAAAATTCAATAATTATTTTCAAACTAGCATTTTTGGTGAATAATTTATTTCATTCTCATATTTACATTAAGATATAATTAAGGTGATTTTTGCATATTTTTTATAAATTTATTTGATATTTCTAAGCTAAAATTGCATAAAATTGCAATTATAGCCTATATTGCGATTAATAGCATTTTACAATTATAAATTGCTCCCAGTATTTTTGGATTAACATTTTATATATTATTAATTAATTTAGTGCTTTTAATTTATTTTTAAAATTATTTCAACTATTTTAATTAAATTAAAAAAGGGAAAATTGGCTATTTAATATATAGCCCATCTGCATTTCAATTATAGCCACATTACAGTCCCAATTTAAACCCAATTTTAACCGGCCCAATTCCTAAAATCAACCCAACCCCTGACCCAATTAAATTACCCGACCGGACCCCCCTTTTAAATCACAACCGTTGATCTAAAAGATCAACGGCCCAAACACACCCTTTCCTTTTTAATTTACCAAACCCCCCAACCCTAATTCATTTCTCCTAACCCGCCGCCCTTGAATCCCCCTCCTCTTCCATTCTCTCTGCAAACCCTAGTCGCCGCCATCCAAGATAACCCTAATCCCTGCAATTCTCGCCCGTTTCCATGGCTTCTCAGGCCATGAAACCCTCATACTCACCTCCTATTGCTCCCGTGTGCTTGGTATTCGAAGGTTTGGGGTTAGACCTCAAAGGTCTCCACTCAGACCTTCACCGATTCGAGGATTCCGGCCATCTCCGACCTTGCTCTGGTGGCCCTTGGTCTTGTGAGCCTGATTCTGACCTCATCCGACTTAGATCGGACATTTTCGAAGCCTTTCTCACTCTAGGGTTCATCTGAAACCCTAACTATCGAGGTTCTCTCCGATTATTTTTAGATCTGTTATATGTTTGCAATATTGCTTAAGTTTGTTAAACGTTTTTTCCGATTTTCTTTCAAAAAGTTACTTCTTTTCGATTAGGGTTTCTGGAAAAGGTCTTGAAAATGTTTCTGACTCTTCTTCTTCTTCTTCTTTTCTTGGTGTGAATCGATCCCTGCTATGTTCTTATTTACTCTTTTCTGACTCGCCTGCTTTTTCGTGTGTTCTTATATTTGTTGTATTATGAAGTTTTCTGTTGTGCTCCGTTTTGTCTCCTACTGGTTTCAATATCATGCTCTCGCATGCCTATATTATGTGTTCCTTTACTGTGTTTTCCTACTGAGTTTTAGTCCTTTGTTTGCTTTTACCAGACTTTGTTATTTCTAGATGTGTTTCATCGACTATTTCCTTAAGTTTACACTACCCCTTTATCTCCTGAACTCGTTTAAATTTCAAGCTTTTCTTGAAACTTGTTCCCTGTACTTCAAATTAGTTTCTATGTTCTATTTGCCTTGAACCTGCTATTGTGCTTGTATGTTTTCTCATGAGACTCTGAAAGAGGTCTCTGAGTCTGTTTCAATAGCTTGCCTTCTCATCTCTGTGTCGAATTCGAGTTTAACAACCCTAAGATTTAGGGGTTTCTTTGGCAAGTTTGATTTTGTGTTTGGACAGGGGTTCTACTTTGAAACCTTGAACTCTCAGACTCACTCCGAGTTTATGAATTGAATTTGAACTTTTTCTGGGTTTGTGATTTTGAAACTTTCTTGTTAGTCTTTCGTAATTAGCATGACATCCTTCTTGCTTGACATGTCTATGTGTTTTATATATGAGAGCTTCTCTTTCAAAGGTTTTGCCAACTGTTAATTGATTCTGAATCCCTTTAATGTTGCTTACTTGATTGTTACTGATTTTCCCTTAAATTAAACTTTCCTTTACCACTTTTCTGACTCGGTTCAAGCGAACAAAGCTTTCAACTTGGTTCTTTTACTGGCTGTTTTACTGATTCCCTTTCCTTGTTTTTTACAAATCAAGTACCACTAGACTTTTACCTTAAATAGTTTTTATGTATTTACCCTTTATTGTACTGCTTGGGAAAGTATTCTGATTGACCCTTTCTTAATTATCTTTACCCATTGAAAATCAGAATCCCTTAATTGAAGGGAAATTGATTTTCAAGGTTATTTTCCTTACCTTTTCTTACTTACTTGCTGCACTATAAAAAGGGCCTTCCCTTTTATACTTTAAACAATACTCATTCACTGATTTTCGAATCACAAACTCTCTTGCACTCTTTACTCTCTTCTGAGATCTTTTGCATTGCTTGCTCGCAATTTGGCTTACCAAAGCTTCTGCTTTTCGTTTATTTTTCTGAAACTGGTATGTCCTACTTTTGATTCTAGCATCAACTCCAATGTGTTTATTTACAAGCTTTTATGCCCATGCATACTTTACTGCTTTGTAGAGTTCAACCTTAAAGTAATGCTCATGTCTTGCTATCTGTTGCTGCAATGAATCCCCTATCCCCATCCCCCTTTTATGTGCTTGGGCTGTAGTTTAAGACATGGCAATATACAAAGTTATTGTCATGGATTAAAACTGGGTCCTTTAGATCCTAGCCTCTTTCAATTTCCCATACCCCATTCCCTTATGTGTATTGAGTTAAGGTATAGCCTGGGAGCATCCAAGTTGCTGTCCAGGGCTGAACCTGACCTTCAAAAGGGTCCTAACTCTTTAAATTTTAAGCTGACCGGCTGGTCAGGGGTGTGCCAGCATTCCAGTTGCTGGGCATGACCACCAGCCTGCCCTGGCTCCCCCCCTAATTCCCTTTCATTGCACTTACACTTACTCCTAGTCTCTAAGTTCTGCCCCCTCCTATGAGCCTTGCCTTGGGACCTTGAGTTCCCTCTGAACTTGGACATTTGAGGGCTGGCCCTTCCACACTGCACTATGTTCTTAACTCTGCAATGATATTTGGGGTGTAAGCATTGCCTGGAATTCTTGAAGTTCCTTGGAACTTTAACACATCCCAAATAAGAGAAAGGCTTTGAAAATTCGATCCTGGAAGTTGGTTTATCTCATATTATTAGACTTTGAGTCTGGATTAGGCTGATTAGATGTAGATATAATCACTGATGTAATTTTATTATTCCTTCTGATTCGCTTGGTCTGTAATAAGCTTTGTAAATAACTTTGTAATAACTACTGTGGTATAGTGAAAGGGGATGGGACTGAATGCATGCCAAAGGGGTAGAAATCATGTCTATAAGATATTTACTCCTTAAAATTTTGCATTTTCACATAGAAATCATGTTTATAGGATATTTACCCTTTAAAATTCTGCATCTCACATAGAAATCATGTCTATAAGATATTTACTCTTTAAAATTCTGCACCTCACATCGAAATCGTGCTCATAGGATCATTACTTTCAAACTCTGCATTTTCACGTAGATACCATGTCTATCGGATATTTACTCTTTAAAGTTTTGCATCTCGCCTAGAAACCATGTTCATAGGGTTATGACTTTCAAAGCCTGCATTTTTCACATAGA